GAGAGAGAGAGAGAGAGAGAGAGAGAGAGAGAGAGAGAGAGAGAGAGAGAGAGAGAGAGAGACAGTGACGCTGAGCGATACAATTCCGAAGAGGACATAGGAGAGAGAGAGAGGGAAAGAGAGAGAGAGAGGGTCGGTTACATACCTGATCCTAGTCTGGTTCTGTGTGAGTGGCAGAGACCACAGGAGGCATGTACACTTTCTTTGTATAATAAAGACAATTTGTGTTTCAACCTCTCGTGTGATTCTTGTGTCTCGGTTTCACTTCCAAGTATGAATACTCATCCGGATGGTCGTTGGATGTGTGCACGAGGTTGAGGGTGTTTGGCTTGAGAATCATTGCATTGGTATCGTAGCTGGATCCCGCTACATCCACTTGGGGAAACATCGCTGGTAAGGAATAAGGTCAGCGGGCAGCACCAAAAAAAGAAAAAAAAGAGAGAACATCGGGGTCTGAGTGGATAGAGGGCCGAAGCAGAAGTGGCTTGCAAGAGGCAAGCGACACACGTACCTGCGAGCGAGGAGCTTCATCTAGAGGACGTCATCAAGATTAGCGAAGTGCTTCTTGCCCTGGCCCTTGTCTTCTTTGCAATATATTTTTGTTTTGTTTTTTCCCTGAACTTTCCTTGAGTCCACTGCTGCAATCAGTCACTTCTGTTGATGTCAACTGGTCGCACACTCTCTTTGCTGCTTGAGCCTTTGAGTCTGTCTTACGTGTTGAGGATGCATGTGGACTGAACCCAGCTGCAATCAGACTCGCTTTCTTCTTCGCTTCGCATGCATACGAACAGATGGTGATTCACACTGGCGGATAGCGCCCAAGTCAAAGCTCAGAGGTATGGAAACCAAGAACACAGTTCGGATGCAAACTCGCTTCAACAGGCTATGGTGCACCAGCACCTATACATCCCAACTCTCGTCACTGTGTTATGAGTACTGACCACACTAAGGGACTGATGGAGAGGCCACTGGGCCGTCAATTTGAGGTTTGGCGGTTAGCATCCCAAGGGACATGGAAAGAGAGCGGTCCTGAATGTATCATCTACGTCCATGTAACCACCTCACGGAGTATATCTTGCGTCTAAAGCTTTCATAATGTAATATCCGATTTCGAAACTGGGAAATTCCGCTAACGCGCCTCGATCGACACCAGAGAAAGAGGTAGGCTAACCTCCCAACACCACTGTTCGCTCACACTTCAACTCTGGATCACCCTGGATATCCCACACGCAACCCACTGTACACTCGC